GTGTTCCAAATCATCCACAAATATCCGCGCGTACTGATGATTGTAACCCAAACGGCTAAAATCATCTGCAAATATACGACTCCAGACGATAAATAACCTCTACGGCACCTAAAGTCGCCATTATATACGTACGACCAATCACTACTCCCTGTTGACTGTACGGAACAACCTCGTACAGTCATCTACAAGTGGAATGAAGGTCGTTAAGTCGTTCAAACAAAAAAATAAATAAATAAAAAGTTGCGATTTTTCAATATTGTGGGTAGTAATTTTCTTTACCTGAGCTTATGTTTGGTAAAGCAAGCGTGATTTAATTTTGAAGTTAAAGAAGCAATAACAGTATCTAGAATGACACACACACACACACACAAAATACTAAACAGATAACTAATATAAATAAAACAAATCCTCTCAGAGTATCAAGCAACAAAAAAAAAAAAACAATCCAATATACGACTGATGATAAATTAAAAAAGGGGAAACAAACGGAAGCCACAAAACCGCTGCAAAATAAAACACTCCCAAAATAATAATATATTCGACACAAAGGAACGCATGGTACTAAAACGAGGGATCGCCTTAAAGAACAAGCGAACAACGATAAATTCACGAGTCACGGTTCTTGGTATGTAAACAATGCAACGATAATTTTATTTACGTTGCATCGTGTGAAAGTCTGTGAAGTGCGTGACTGGTTCCACAACGTCACGCCTCGCACTAATGTCTGTTGGGTAGAATTAGATCTGGTTTATAATGTTTCCTCTGCCTATGGGTACAGTGAGAACTCTATTAATGGACTATATAGAGATGAAAGTCCATTATATCGAGGGTCCGTTAGATGTGAAACCTCTATTTAACGAACTATATAGAGATGAAAGTCCATTATATCGAGGGTCCGTAAGATGTGAAACCTCTATTAATGGATTATACGCAGAGAGGAGTCCATTATATAGAGGTTTCACTGTACAGAGACTCTCCGGTTTATGGAAAGGTTACGTTTCTGGACACTATACATAAAAGGTTCCGTTCCTGGACCCTATACGTAAAAGATTCCGTTCCTGGACACTATACATAAAAGGTTCCGTTCCTGGACACTATACATAAAAGGTTCCGTTCCTGGACACTATACATAAAAGATTCTGTTCCTGGACACTATACATAAAAGGTTCCGTTCCTGGACCCTATACGTAAAAGGTTCCGTTCCTGGACCCTATACGTAAAAGATTCCGTTCCTAGACACTATACATAAAAGATTCCGTTCCTGGACACTATACATAAAAGGTTCCGTTCCTGGGCACTATGCATAAAAGGTTCCGTTCCTAGACAGTATCCGTAAGCCTAAAATGTCCCTTATGGTAGGCATTCTGTAACCCTTGAATTCCTGTACCCTTGAATTCCTGTACCCTTAAATTCCTGTACCCTATCCTCAGTACACCCATAGCAGCTTCCAGATAAAGTAGCATTGGTACAAACAGTGTCTCTAATGTCGATCTGTTACGTTACAAAGGACATCATGACGTGTGTTTACCTCCATCACGTCTAAGCTACGCGCCCACACACACGTTAACGGCGAGTTTTTTATTACAACTAGACGTCTCTGATGGATTTCCGGAGAATGAGATCACCTTTTTTGCACTTTACGTAAACATTGTGAGGTGACGGCAGAGAGACGCTGTTTGATTACCTGCTTGTGTGTTGTGTGTGTGTGTGAGGACCATGTGTGTTGTGTGTGTGTGTGTGTGAGGACCATGTGTGTTGTGTGTGTGTGTGTGGACCGTGTGTTGTGTGTGTGGACCGTGTGTTGTGTGTGTGTGTGAGGACCGTGTGTATGTATGTATGTGTGGACCGGCATTATACTACACCAGAACCACAACAAGTGACATTCTCTTACGATACAAAGTCAACAGTGGTCAGCCAACACACCGGGCCGAGCAGCAACAAATATCGATGGGATCATATTTACATAGTTCATATATCTATTTATCTCTCTATATCTTACTGACTATATAAAGGTTCTCTCCCATATAAAGACACTTGAGGCAAATTGACTTAGAATGGGATGATTTAGCAAGGTGGAATATATTTTACAAGTGCCTTCTATGGACAGGCCCTAATGGTGGAGACGCTGTGTCGCATCAGCTGGTCTAAGGCCGACAGTACTAGACTAACCGCGGCGACTACGGGACTTAACCAACGCTGATGCGGCTTGAGACCGAGTATTAAGTCAATCTTGGTCAATAATATAAATAATCATTATATGTAATCATTACCATATAAATGGAACATAAGTGGTATAACATTTTGTCTGTTATCGGAGGGCTGAATGTTTTATAATATTTGACTTTTGTAAATAATAATTGAAAGTCAAGGTGAATTTTGCCAAGTACACCATAAAAAAAGAATTATATACAGTGAAACCTCTATTTAATGGACTATATGGTGATGAAACTCCATTATATCGAGGGTCCATTAGATATGAAACCTCTATTTAATGGACTATATGGTGATGAAAGTCCATTATATCGAGGGCCCATTAGATATGAAACCTCCATCTAACGAACTATATCAAGATGAAAGTCCATTATATAGCAGAGATTTTACTGCACATAATTCTCCCTTTTAACTGGACACTTCACACTATACAGAGACCACACTCCAGTACAGTAACATCCTAACATTAATCAAACACACTACCATCCCTGTACTATCATATCATAATTAAGTCTCAGTAATTAACTTTCTCATTATAATAAACTACTACTAATAATTAATGATGGTAAGGCTATTATTTGATTCCTCTTAATAACAACACGTTAGATCGCTGTCAGGACTTCAGTTAATGAGTTGAAATATGATGTCCTGTACAGTACAATATGTTATTTTTTATAATGAATGGTTAAATCCTTTGTTTGGATTATGATGATGTTATAATGAACTGTTATACATTATTGATATTATTTCAGGCAAGAGGAAGAATGACTAAGCCACCCCAAAAACCATAAGTTGACCCACTTAGATTAGCTTAATAAATAAAATAGCATTACCAGACTAGACAGTAGCTATTTAGTTATTCAATCAATCATTCATAATAAAAATAAAACCACAAACATTTTAACTAAACAACTACTGCATCACTTAACACTAAAAATTATTGTCAAAGTTTAAGAAATACATTGAGTGTCTTTCAGCATGAGATTGACACACACACACACACACACATACACAGGGCTCAGTATTACAAAATAAAATATTCAAGATCAAACAAACTCCAGCTGGATAATGAGGTAAAATATGTCACAAACAATATGGAAGCAAAAGGCAGATGAGAAGTTCCGTATGTGGGTCATATTTTACACTGCCCAAAAAATTGAATAAAGTTACAGATTTATAATGTTATGTTTTATGCCATTATCATAAGGTATGGTGAACTTATTGTGTAGTGTAGTGTAGTTGTGGTGTAGTTGTAGTGTGGTAAAGTGTGGTGTAGTGTAGTGTGGTGTAGTTGTGGCTGTAGTGTAGCATAGTGTGGTGTAGTGTAGTTTCACATATAACTCACACTTGAATCATACACTACAAACTGTGTCTACATAAACCATCACACTCTACAGCACTGTGTTGTTCTAAACTGTTTTACTCTAATGCACACGGTGTTTTATGGCTACACACGGTGTTTTATGGCTACACACGGTAAGTTTTATGGCTACATGGCTACACACGTGTTTTGTACACACGGTGTTTTATGGCTACACACGGTGTTTTATGGCTACACACGTGTTTTATGGCTACACACGGTGTTTTATGGCTAAGTTTTATGCTACACACGGTGTTTTATGGCTACACACGGTGTTTTATGGCTACACACGGTAAGTTTTATGGCTACACACGGTGCCTCATGCTGGCACACACGGTGAACTCTTTTAGACTATAAATTAAAAAAGAATTTTCTATTGACTGTATAGTATATCATGTGTGTGCTCCATGTGTGTGTGTGTGTGTGTGTGTGTGTGTGTGTGTGTGCCTATGTATGGGTGTGTGTGTGTGTGTGTGTGTGTGTGTGTGTGTGTGTGTGTGTGTGGATGTGTTGTGTGTGTGTGTGATGTGGTGTGTGTGTGTGTGTATGTATGTGTGTGTGTGTGTGTGCTGTGTTGTGTATGTGTGTGTGTGTGTTGTGTATGTGTGTGTGTATGTGTGTGTGTGTGTTGTGTATGTATGTGTGTGTGTTGTGTGTAATGCCCAACAAACACAAGTACAGTTTCAGTACAAGAAGTTATACTACTAACATATGTATTACCATTTGTTTAAATAATCCCCCCTACAATAAGAGTGAGATAAGTTTTAAGTAACAATAGATCAAATATTGTTTTATAGTGAGTTAATACAATACTAGACCGCCTTAGATTGTATTTATAGTAATGATTGTTTCAGCAAATCTTGGCCAAACAACAGCTTCATTTAATAATCAAGTATAGAATTTTTACAAGATGATAAAACAAATGACTAACTATTCGTGATACAGTTTTAAAGTAAATAATGACTAGATTTATCCTAAACACACATATATATAAATAATCTTGGAGATATGTGAATTATTAGCAACAATATACAGTAATATATAGAGGAATTTGGGGTGATTGATCAACCCAGAAGAGAAGTCATTGGGTGATGTTTTTAGCTGAAGGACTTTATAGCACAGGGGCAATGATCCCTCCCTCTCTCCCTGTTCCCTCCCTGTTCTCTCCCTGTTCCCTCCCTGTTGTCTCCCTGTTCTTTGCCTCCCTACCAACTCACAGTATCTCAGGGAGCAAGCAGGGAAGCAGGAAATAGACAGTAGGCAAGCAGGGACATTTCTCAAGGACACAATCTAGACAAATCTTAAAACAGACCACATATTATACACCTGCAACATACTGCAACATACTGTACACACAACCTGCTGTACACACAACATACTGTACACACAACATGCTGTACACACAACATACTGTACACACAACATACTGTACACACAACATACTGTACACACAACATACTGTACACACAACATACTGTACACTCAACATGACACCTGAACATTCATGTAGGCTGATAAAGTTTAATGTTAACATGTTAAATAAACAGTCCTAAATAAATTAAATAACACCTTAAGACTACATCAATAACAGTTAACAACCATCAACAACTAAATCACCTTGTTTGACATATTTACAGCCCAGAGATGATTCCGAAGTGCGTCCTAAGAGTGTTCTCCTCGTTCGACTAGATCTAAGGGTCATTTAATGATTGTCACAGCCTGATTAATGACTCTTATTTACACTGTTCAGGGAGATGACACTGTAGACACACAAGACGCACCTCAGGATTACACTCTAACCTAACACTAACCTAACCAAACACTAACCTAACACTAACCTAACACTAACCAAACACTAACCTAACCTAACACTAACCTAATGAAGGGTGTTAACAATGGATAAAGCACAGTTTGATAATAACAGGCCACAAAGTTTAAGATGCACTTTGACTTCACTAAGCTGATGTCATTATAAACACATTTGACTTCAATTATGTCATTATAAACACTTTTGACTTCAATTATGTCATTATAAATGCATTTAACTTCAATTATGTCATTATAAACAGCTGTCATTATATATCTCGAGTGAATAAATAGAGTTAATCTTCATACCTAAACAGCTGTCATTATATATCTCGAGTTAATAAATAAATAAATAGAGTTCATTTTCATACCTAAACACCTGTCATTGTATTTCTCGAGTTATATAAATAAATAAATAGAGTTAATCTTCATACGTAAACATTTGTCATTGTATTTCTCGAGTTAATAAATAAATAAATAGATCTTTCCAAACACTTGTACCTCTACTGACAGATTCATCTTGGTGGTTCATTAGTTGGTCCCAATTTTCTTCTTCAGTATCATAAGCAGAGGGAAGTGTAGGTTCTTATTGTAGTAAGGGTCCATTGTAGTCTGCTGTAGGTGAGATATAATGTATTATAATGATGTGAGGTAGATAGATAGATAGATAGATGGAATTACGTACAGAAGAAGCAAGGGCAGATCCAGGAATATCAAAAAGAGGGGGTCCAAGAGGTTGTGGGTAGGGGGGACATGGCGAGCGTGGCAAGCACACCCAGCTGGGGGTGGGGGGTCGCTGTTAGCCCCTCCCCAAGAACTTTTTTGGGGAAGTCTAACCAATATTATGGGCAGTTTGAGGCCATGTTGAGACTATTTTGAGGCCATGTGCATTTGATATCAGGAGATATTCTGAGGTCAATAGTAATTACTTTTTACTATACAAAAAACACCTGAGTATAATACTAACCTAACCTAATGTAACACTAACCTAACCTAACCAACAAAAGAGAGAAAGTCAAATTATCAAGAAAACGTCACAAGCCTAAAAAAAAGAAAAAAAATACGATTCACCATCTTACTTCGATGATCAAAACAACGGATCGACATTACCTTTTGGACGTGTTGATCGACCACTTGATCGTACTTCTCAACAACAGCCACCATGAAGTGTGGGCGGCACATACTGGCAAAAGTCTGGAAGGTGCCGCTCCTGGACGGTGCCACGACCAGTGCCGTACCCCCAGGCCGCAGCACCTTGAGTAATGTGGACAACAAACTCTCTCTTCCTTCATCAAAGAACAGACTGCGGAAATGTCAACAAGTTATGGTTTGCTGGTATTATAATTTATACCTTCAATAATAACAACAACTACAATAATAATAATAATAATAATAATAAAAATAATAATAATAATAATAATGATAATAATAATAATAATAATAACATATATTTACTAGTAATTTAAACGTAACTGATAATTCTTTAACAAGGCTTCATTCTCCTATACAGCTCCTCCCCGACTTACGACCCGCCTCAGTTGTACCAAAATTTTGTCAAATTACGTATTTTTGAGTCCCAACGTCAGTACACAAACAAAATTTTCGGTTGTAATTCACTTTAAAATGGCTGGCAAGCTTAAAAGTGAGAGTTTTGTGGTGCTGATAAGAAAAAGAGACACCCATTTTAGATTTTCTATGTATTATTTCAAGCATTTTCGACTTACGGCCTGGATTTGGGTCCCTAACCCCGTCATAAATCGGAGAGGAGCTGTACCTTCCTCTAACAAAGTTTATATACTTTCCAAACATAAGAACATCAATATTTGTCAATCTAAGAACAAACAACAACAACTAAATGGTTTAATATATTTGTTCAACTAAGAAAATAAACTCAATATTTTTCGACAGCAGAACAATTTTAATAAACTCTTATACATATGAGTCACTCCAGAGATTTAATGATGGCTTAGTGCTAATGTGGGAACCAACACACACACACACACACACACACACACACACAAGAATGGTGGTTAATAATAGCGTGAATATATCCTGTACAGTGTTGAGTATAATGATTGAGTATACTGCCTATTATTGATACTGGAGGCTAGTAAATCTTTCTAGTGTCATTAATAGCAGAGAATACAGTACAGTATATCACAGTATATTACAGTACAGTATATAGAGATTAAAGTCCATTATATCGAGGGTCTGATAGATGTGAAACCTCCATCTAACGAACTATATAGAGATGAAAAGTTCGTTTATGGATGATTCACTCTATATAATCAAACGTCATTCATATATCTTCAAACTTATAATAAAAGTAAAAAAACACACCGAAAAACACAAAAGTCATAGCATAAAAACGTACAACAAATTAAAATACAAAACAGGTGATATTAATAAATTAATTATAACAAACCAAGTTGTGCCAGGCAAGCAACTTAAAACAACAGACCATAAATAAACGAAAATAACTAAGCATTCGTAGCAGAACAAGTGAGCATCAAGTTTGGTTTGGTTAGGTTAGCATCAGGTTAGGTTTGGTTAGGTTAGGTTTGGTTTGGTTAGGTTAGATTGGCAAAAGACAGTGGCGTTCTGAACGACTTTTACGTACATGCTTCACACTTTCATTACCTTAACTGTACTCAAGTAGTGATGTTGGATATAGATTTACAGTTTGTCAGAGTACAATTATTTTTATTACAATTTTTTTCCAGTCCAATTTTTTTTTCAGAGTACAGAACAATTTTTTTTAACTTTTCCAGAGTTTTACAGAAAATCTGATTACAGTAATAGTTAATTAATTGTTAATGGAATGTATTAAATTGGTGAAAGTGGCCACAATTGATGGTGAAAGTGGCCAAGACCCCCCCCCTTTTCCGTCCTCCCTACACTCACTGGCCACCTTGTGATATATACTCTAAGTTATTATTAAAATCCACTTATAAAACACAAACACACAATCCAATCATATCCTTATTTCTCACTCTGTTTGGATCTGGTAAACGACATATTCTTTTTCTCTCCGTTTGGATTCAGTAAACGCCATTAAAACACACCGTATGGAGATTTCATACGAGGCGCGTCCCCATACGAAAAAACAAAAAAAAACACACTCGGCTTAGGGGAGATGGCGGTGTGATATTGTCAGTTTCGGGAATGCGTGAACGAGTGACCGAGGGAGAATGACCGCTAAATGGGTCCTGGTTTGTCAGGGGAATGAGTCTCTGAATTGACTTACAACAATAGTTTCATCTTGTTTGGGGGTCGACGGTGGTTAATTTAGTATGGGAGTGAACTGATTTACCCCCTGACTATTTCATCTTGTTTGGGGCCGACATTGGTTCATTTTCCAAGGGCAGGAGCACTTTTTAACCCAGACTGTACTTGACGCAGATTCACACGAGGTAACAATCATTAACAATAATAACACCGACACATTATGACAATCTCGTGCTTCTAAGAAGCCCAAGAGAGAGAGGAGGGATGTGGGGGAAGGAGGAGAGGGAGGAGGAAGGGGGGGTAAAAAAAACCACCACTGTCTTTTGGCCAATCCACTCACAGATATAAACCTACCAATCGGCACACATGGCAACATCGAATTTCCCCTGATGTGGAGAAACTTCATCCGGAACTCCCCAGCGAAGTACCCTGCAAGTAGAATGATCTTGGCTCTCCTGTTTTCCACCCTTTTAGAAGTGCTGTTAGTAAGCATCTGTCACTGAATGCTTGTTAGTGATGCTCGTTAGTGAACCATTACTGTATTGTACATAGTTTGTGAAATATGTTTGTTATTGAACCATTATTGCACCTCTATAGTTTGTGAAATATGCTCGTTAGTGAACCATTATTGTACCTCTATAGTTTGTGAAATATGCTCGTTAATAAACCATTTATATACATAGTTTGTGAAATATCCTTAAGATATCAAGAAAACACAGTATAAACATAGAATCTTCACCCATATTACCTGAACCAACATTACAAACATATTATCCATCCTGTCACCCCCAAATTATACCAAACATTTACATCAAAACTTTCAACCATGATAATCAACCAGAGATTTAACCCCAGAAGATTAATATCACGTTATAATTTCCATCACGTTCTTGAGTCTCTTAATAATCCAACAGAAAAGGATATTAAGTGTATTTTTAACATGATATATATGTGAATAAGTTTCTATGGTGGGCTCTATAACATGATGGGACTATCTTGGTTATAGAAGATGTTTGTTATTCGCCCTTAGTCAAACTGAATCACTGTATACCCTCTCGCACTCGACCTTTAACTCTCGCACTCAAATCTTTAACTCTCTCTCACTCAGCCTGAACAACTACACAACTCACCTGGTATAAGTTTCCATTGGTAGATAATTCCTCTGTAGAGACACTTTAACATTGTTTACAGACAGGGCGTTACCGTCTGTCAGCACCATTTTGGAGGGTTCACCGCTGGCTGCAACCTGTAGTACAAACAAACACCGGTGAACAAATGGCGGTGAACAAACGGCAGTGATAATTGTGTAAATATATGAACAAACAATGAAAGAGTTAAAGATGTGAAAATATATTGTATGGATGAAGAGGTGTGTGTGTGTGTGAGGTACAGTCCCCTTCACTAGTGTGTTTACAGAGACTCATCATATAACTTACCAACATACCAGCCAGACAAGTCATCCCACCTCCCAGCTCAAGGACGGACTTGCCGGAAAATATGCTGAGGTTGTCGAGGCAGTAATACGTGAGGATCTCTTCCGACGGCCAGATACCTGCGAAGACACGAACATTCATCAACGGAACGTGAACAGTTACAGGCCGTTCCCAAGTGCATTATTTCACTGATAATTGGGGTTTTTTAGTTGATTTATTACTAATGAGGAAAATGGGAACTTCTGGGGGTATATAAAGGGAAACTAAACTAAAATAAACTAAACCAAATCTAACATCTTACTGTACAATAACTTAGTAATATTATAGAAACTAGGAAGAATTAAGGTATATTTTATAAACTAAACTAAACCTAACCTAACAACATACAATAACAGACTGAAATGTGAAAACCAATAGCTTAAAAGTCTAGAATCGAAGAAAAATTCAGAATTTATTTAAAGCTTTTTCATATCTAAGCTAATCACACTACATTATGGTAATTTAATTTATATAAATAAACTGTATCTCACACTTTAAAAATTCTGTAGTGATTATTTTTAAGTTATTTCTGTATTAAGTTTCTAAATCATTAAAAAAAAACTAAATTAATAGGGAGAAAAAAATTGTGTCAGTGAAGCCATAAAAATAAATGGTAAAAAAAAAAAATAATCCTGAGAAAATTGGGGTAAAAAATGAGAGAGAGAGAGAGAGTGGTATAAATATACAAGGTGTAAGTGGTGTAAGGAATTAATTAGGTGTAAATGGGGTACATAAAGGAGACAGACAGACAGACAGACAGACAGACAGACAGACAGACAGAGACAGACAGAGACAGACAGACAGACACAGACAGACAGGTGCTGTAGCCATTTCCATATATATGATTTGATTAATATATCTGTAAATTCAGGTGTGTGTGTGTGTGTGTGTGTGTGTGTGTGTGTGTGTGTGTGTGTGTGTGTGTGTGTGTGTGTGTGTGTGTGTGTGTGTGTGTGTGTGTGTGTGTGTGTGTGTGTGTGTGTGTGTGTGTGTGTGTGTGTGTGTGTGCGTCCAGTCTGCCATGTAGCCCCAATAACCAACAATTGACACCACCAAATTAATGATCGTACGGTAATATCTATTTATACATACCAAATCGGATTAAAACGGCAATTAAAACCTCATCGTCGACCACATAACAAGACTGGACAGAGGAGAGGAAGGGGAGGGGGGGAAAGAAGAGACGCGAACGGCAAAAAATAAAAATAAATCTTTACAGAACAGCTCGACCAACTTACAGACGTTGCCAGTATTGTTGAAACCCGTAAGCTGAGTTGGGCTGAAGTCTCGTCGTAAAAGCCTAAGAGACATGCACAATGACGCGTTAGCATGCTAGCAGCCCAACCAGGGTTAGGAAGGCGGCAATTGATATGGGGTTTGACGTTGAATATAGTAATCAAGGAATGTCCCCTATGGTTAACTAATTTATTCTTAGGTCTTTGTAATTATTAAATAAACTCACTGTGAATAAAATTGTCTATATGGTGATAATTCTGTTTGAAGGATCAAGGATATAAGATTAAAAATAATAATGCTGTGAATTAAAATATGGTGATAATTTTGCTTCAGGAATATAAAAGGTAAGAAATAATATTGCCTTAAAATAATACCACTGTACTACACTAGTTTAGGTTTTAAATAAGCAAGGTAAAATAAACCAAATAGGGTGTATGTGAAATAAACCCAATATGGTGTACAGTATGAACCAATATAGTGTACAGTGTGTGAAATAAACCCAATATGGTGTACAGTATGAACCAATATAGTGTACAGTGTGAAATAAACCCAATATGGTGAACAGTATGAGCCAATATAGTGTACAGTGTGTGAAATAAACTAACCCCACTACTACCAATATAACCATTATTCCCACTACATTATTTTACAACCCTACCAAAACCTAAGCCAACGATCCTATGCAATATGGGGTCAATTAGTAGTTGTTGTTATGACATGTGGAAAGGTCAAAATGAAGGGGGAATTGGGTAGTTAAGGGTGGTGGAGAATTAGGTAGTTAACCACCCTCCTCTCCCACCACCCCCCGCCCCCCCATCATCAGATAATACAATACCAAATGATTGTATTATCTTATTAATCAAACATTAACTTAGTTTATTTATCTTTTGGGATGTATAATAAAATATATTTTCTTCTATAAAACTTCCATTTAATTTATGTATTGTATTTTATGGGCCAATCTATAATAAATTAACTATCTATAATAAATTAACTATCTATAATAAATTAACTATCTATAATAAATTCCATGTATAGTGTATATATAGCGTGGTAAACAATATATGATCTGTTCTGAGTCGTGACACAACTTTGAGGAGGAAATAAAATGTATCATAGGGTAAAAAGGTCATATGAGCCACAGAAAATGTATCATGGGGTAAAAAGGACATATGAGCCATAACAGAAATGTATCATAGGGTAAAAAGGACATATGAGCCATAACAAAATGTATCATAGGGTAAAAAGGACATATGAGCCATAACAAATAATGTATTATAGGGTAAAAAGGACATATGAGCCATAAAAAATGTATCATAGGGTAAAAAGGTCATATGAGCCATAACAAATAATGTATTATAGGGTAAAAAGGACATATGAGCCATAAAAAATGTATCATAGGGTAAAAAGGTCATATGAGCCATAACAAATAATGTATTATAGGGTAAAAAGGTCATTTGAGCCATAACAGAATGTATCATAGGGTAAAAAGGACATATGAGCCATAACAGAGGGCGAGGAGACGTCTATCAGCTGTACGTTCTTTGCCAAGGTATACACACACACACACACACACACACACACACACACACACACACACACTTATTTGATTGTAAGAACTCTCTCTCTCTCTCTCTCTCTCTCTCTCTCTCTCACCAATCAACAATCATCTATAAAAAATCAGTATTTATTCCGGCTTTGGGAACGATTTTCCGAGGGCCAGATTTTCCGGAAAATTACGAGAAAATTCTCCCGATGGTCAAAAAATTCCGTGGATGGGTTTTTGGCCTGGGTTAGAGAGAGGTGTGGTCTTGTAACCCAGAACTCTCTAGTTCCTGGAAGAGTTGTGTCCCGGCTAACATCACATGTGTATCAATAATTAAAATAAACTCAACTATTATTTGTAACCAGATTATATTATATTAAATTCAACTTAAAACAACAGTCATACTTCTCTTATAATTAATACTTAAAACAAGTCATTTTAGCTACAACAATCTATACTGTCTTGGAAATATACTGTAAATATACTGTATCAGGAATATACTGTAAATATACTGTATCAGGAATATACTGTAAATATACTGTATCAGGAATATACTGTAAATATACTGTATCAAGAATATACTGTAAATATACTGTATCAGGAATATACTGTAAATATACTGTATCAGGAATATACTGAATCACTCTGTTATGGCTCATACAGTGTTTTATCCCCCAAAAAATAATACTAATGGATCAATTCTCGATATATAGTGTTCCTGTAAGTTCACTATAACTCTACGATGTTCAGAGTCATCGTTATAGTGTATGGTGGTTTGGGGTCAAGTGTAACAGAGATGTTTTACCGACCCTGAATAGTAAATAAGTCGGCATTGTTCAAACCCAATTAACTGCCGCCATTGTATACACGGATTGTAATGCTAATTCTAAGGCATAGGTTAATGGCAGTCAATTAACAAAAAAAAAATGCCATACTGATTAGATAAAAGATAGTGTGGAGAAATAGGCATAACTACTTAGATGTGCATTGAATGGTAAAAAATAGCAGGCAACATCCATTACTGAAATTATAAAAATAACCTGATAATAATTGATAATTGTAAATAATTCATGAATAATCCAACATAATATATCTAATTATGCAAGATTATGAATATTTTGTATTATTTAAAGAAAACACTGTTATTTATGCTAAAATCTACAATGTTATATACATTAGCCAAATATGCATCTCATTATGGATGAAAATAAATAATAATAATAATGCAGGAATCTAAAAAAATAAATAAACATATAAATTAATTAAACTACTATGTCATCGTTCAATAGCAACTGTTGTTATACTATTAATAAGAGACAATAATAGAACACCACTTAACTATCTCTAACTATCTCTATCTCTCACCTTACTGTAACTTTCAAGTCCCAGTTGATGCATCTGACGGAATAGAAATCTTGCCCAAGAGAATCGAAAGACAACAGACCGAAAGATTGGAACTTTCTGGTCGAGGCACTGTCTGGCGAGGCATCCCTGGCACTGGTTCTCTGTAGTGCCTGTAATGATGGAGCACTGTTATTGTGTCGTTAAGTGTATCGTTAAGTTATACGTGGGAGGGGGTCTTATATGGGTGACTGTCACACTTTGAAATGTTTCCAAGTTTTATATTATCCAGTGAAGCCAAATATAGGGATAACATCACTTCTCTATAACATAAAGTATCTATATATCTACCTCACCTAACCTAACGTAACCCTAATGTAACCTAACCCTAACCTAACGTAACTTAACCCTAACCTAACGTAACCTAACCCTAACCTAACGTAACCCTAACGTAACGTAACCTAACCTGACCTGGCAGTTCCTTCAATAAATGGACACCAGTTTAACAGTTTATGCCGATGGTCAATTGAATTAATGATAATGACACAACTAGTGTATACTGACTCTAGTGTATACTGACTCTAGTGTATACTGACTCAACTTGTGTATACTGACTCTAGTGTATACTGACTCTAGTGTATACTGACTCTAGTGTATACTGACTCAACTTGTGTATACTTTTTACCTTACCTCACACACCTGCCCTACCTCACACACCTGCCTTACCTCACACACCGGCCCTACGTCACACACCTGCCTTACCTCACACACCTACCCTACCTCACACACCTACCCTACCTCACACATCTACCCTACCTCACACACCTACCCTACCTCACACACCTGCCCTGCCTCACACACTCAATAAATAACAAGTGGTGGCCGTGGGATCCATACTTCTGGCCGGCTGACAAAAGCTAGCAATGGAATTTGTTTATTAATAGGAAGAAATTATTGGCTAGTACTGTACTGCTAATCTTACTATTATTAAGGTAACTTACTAATAACTGTCATTAGTCTAACCTAACCAAACTAATTAAGTAATCTAACCTAACCTAACCACATCATTGGTATATTTAAAATATAAAATAAAATTTATAGCACAATTAAAGAAAACAGCAATACCAAAAAATTCTTACAAAATGGTCTTAGTAATTATCAAGGTCAGTAATTAACAAGGTCAGTAATTAACAAGGTCAGTAATTAACAAGGTCAGTAATTATCAAGGTCAGTAATTAACAAGGTCAGTAATTAACAAGGTCAGTAATTAACAAGGTCAGTAATTAACAAGGTCAGTAATTATCAAGGTCAGTAATTAACAAGGTCATTAATTATCAAGGTCGGTAATTAACAAGGTCAGTAATTAACAAGGAAAAGGAAGTTACATTTACAACAGAATTTTAACAATAATTTTTTGACAGGATTATTTATTTATGTGCATTAGTCCTAATTAAGGTAGACTACAGGTTAATGAACAGAAACACCAGACAAGAGGTCATCCAGTCATACATACAGACAGATATGTATACAGTCATACATACAGACAGATATGTATACAGTCATACATACAGAGACAGATATGTATGATATAAAATGGTTATATACATCTTGAAGGATTAAAATATACCATAACGTTAATGACAAGAGCAACACACACACACACACACACACACACACACACACACACACACACACACACACACAACACACACACACCCACACACACACACCCACACACACACACACCACACACACCCCACACCCACACACACACACACCCACACACCCACACACAGCTTCCTCTCCACTACCTGAGTAATATAAACACAATTTCAATCTAGTCTGTTTTAAGTTGAAATTAAAAAATGTAGTGAAATCCGTTCTTTCTTTTTTTCCTTTTATTCTTTCTTTCATTCTTTCTTTCATTCTGTATCTCTTTTTTTTTCTTTACTAAAATCAAGTTAGTTTAGGAAATATATATCATCCAATGGACCAGATTAATATATCCTAAAGAACTCGTAAGATTAGTTTTCGTTAATTAGAAATATGAGTTTTATTTCCAAAGTGTGTGAGGTGTTGAGTACTGGTTAGGTGGTATAGGTGTGGTATAGAGGTGGTATAGAGGTGGTATAGGTGTGGTATAGAGGTGGTATAGGTGTGGTATAGAGGTGGTATAGGTGTGGTATAGAGGTGGTATAGAGGTGGTATAGGTGTGGTATAGAATTGGTATAGGTGTGGTATAGAGGAGGTGGTATAGAATTGGTATAAGAGGTGATATAGGTGTGGTATAGGTGTGGTATAGGTGTGGTATAGAGGTGGTATAGAGGTGGTATAGAGGTGGTATAGGTGTGGTATAGGTGTGGTATAGAGGTGGTATAGAGGTGGTATAGGTGTGGTATAGAGGTGGTATAGGTGTGGTATAGAGGTGGTATAGGTGTGGTATAGAGGTGGTATAGGTGTGGTATAGGTGTGGTATAGGTGTGGTATAGATGTGGCATAGGAGGTGGCATAGAGGTGTACAGGTGTGGTGACAGAGGGTATAGAGGTGGTATAGAGGTGGTATAGAGGTGGTATAGAGGTGGTATAGAGGTGGTATAGAGGTGGTATAGAGGTGGTAAAGAGGTGGTATAGGTGTGGTATAGAGGTGGTATAGGTGTGGTATAGAGGTGGTATAGGTGTGGTATAGAGGTGGTATATGTGTGGTATAGAGGTGGTATACTGTAGGTGTGGTACAGATTTGGCCAGTTATTGCTGTTACCTGATACCAGCACGACACACACACACTACCTATAAGGATATTCTGTATTTAACTACTTAATTCAGTGTTATGTTACTAGAGATAAAATGTTGTTTATTTTCTAACATTTCTTGTGTTTAATTGACATGTTTAAATGACCACACACACGCAAACACACGCAAACACACGCAAACACACACATACGTCCTTCTGTGATATCATGTGTTAAAACTCTTTCATATTATTGCTATTAATAGATACAAAATACAATCCCTCCATCCCTTATCAAAATGGATAGATAAATACATCCTATCCACAAACACCCAAACACCCAAACACACCTGCCATGGCACACAAACACCAGGAAGGTCATAATTAACTCGAGTGGTAATTTAACACCTGAGTGAGGGAGGGAACCTAGTCAAGATCACTTCACCAACCTCTGCCAATATCTTCCAACGCCGGCGAGCAACTGTGCTTTTGTTCTCACAGTTTTCGTTATTTGAACCCGTCATAGCTATTGTGTAGTTGTTAAGGGTTCCAACTGGTAAAAAAATACGTTATAGGGTTAAAAATAACTAGGCTAAAAGTGGTCACTACTACGATGTTCTGTCCACCACGGCGGCGGCTAGTGGTAGGTACTGAGTGTTTCCCGGGCCACACCTGGAGGTTCCTCTGACGTCATTCACCTATGGGTATTTTATCATTACTCTTAACTGAAAGGTTTTTTTTATTTTATTCTATATATATAAGTTTATTCATTTATGATATATATATGAAAATCTATTAAATATTCTTGATTATAGAACCAGTAGGAACATATATATATGTATAAATTAGAAAATACTTATTACAAAATATTTAGAGAATGTCTGAATAATATTTACTTTTAAAAATTTTGAATATAATTAATTTTATTTATTTTATCTTTTTACAGTAAGTTATAGCTTTTAGGGGCGATTTTTTTCTCAAAATACTTATAGACAATGAAAATATCTCCTCACGATTAAATACAAATATGACTTTAATCTGTATATAAACTTTACACTTTAAAATATTCTAAAAATATATCATTCCCAGTTTAATCTATGTCTGTTCATGAATATATATGTATTTTATATAGTGAATCAGGATGGTTAAATATTCCGTGACGACACAGATCTATGACGTCACTCTTCCTTTGGTGCTCAGGAAAAAGTTATTGCCCAAATGTAAACAAATATTGGCGACGAGGTTCAGCTCCTGTGAATATTATCATTTGGTTTTATATTCAAGTAAATATCAATAAATATAACTATACTGAGTATTTTTTCTCCTAATTATGCTTTTATTCACAATATAATTTTCAAATGACAATCATATAACTGGATAGGACATGAACAACAAAATGACAGAGTTGACTAAATGTATATAATTATGAAGACATCTTTTGCCAACTTTAAAATCTCCATTAACACAACATAGTAATAATAATGTGATAATTAAATGAGATGTCTTTAAAGGTAATCTATTTGGGGTTTTTATTTAAATGACTGACAATATGGCATTAACTAAAAGTACTATTTTTTCTTGCTAAATTTTCAAACATTTCCTAAGTATTTTGATAATTTTTTGTACAATATACGAAAAATTGATAGTTAAGGTAAAATTTATAGTTAAAACTTGTTACTTTTAATATAGTTGTACAGGATATATTAATTTCGCACTACACGAACGATAAGTATTCATAGAAATACAGTATACAGTAACTTGCACACACACACACACACACATACACGCACACACACACACACACAAATACACGCACGCACACACACACACACACACACACACACATATTGATTGCTTGCTGTCACCGGCTACAAGGTGAAGAAGCTGTCACCAACACAACAACCACAACCTAAATTAACGAGCTGCATGACCCAGTGTCAAGGAATACTCCAAGAAGACCGGACAACTCTCCAACTGCACTGGCTAACCATTACCCCGGAACACGATCCACAAATCGATTAACATCCAGGTCCCCAATTACTGCTGCTGGGTAGACAGAGACAAATGGCGTAAAGAAACTTATCCATAGCGAGACACCTGACCAACAATACGACGACACACCTGAAGAAAAATCCTTAAGAATGACCTTGAATAGAAGGTTGACAGCCCCAAGTAACTGTCAGCAGCCACACCAAGACACAAGGCACACAAGTTGACGCTGCCATCATCCCAGCTTTTGCCAACACAGTCCCCCCTCTCTCTCCCTCCCTCCCCCCTCCTCACGTGACTGCCTGGTATCACGACATCACAGCCTCTCTCGCACACCAATTTTACTGCCACACTCTTCACTGACGACACCTTGGCGGCTACACACAGATTCATGGTGACTTAGACAACGATAGTGGAGTCAAACTTGGCAAATGATTAGACCGAACCTATACTCCCGCTTCATCCTACGACACACACACACACACACACACTCTTCCCTGGCCACCAACACACTCATAAATATTACACCAAAAAAATAAAACAACACCTCCAGTCTCCCAATAACAATTAACACCTTGAACACAGACACACACAGTCACCATCACTCTCTCTTGCCTAACCTATCACCACCGTTCTTAAATAAGCTTCTACAACATCCAAAACCTTCCCTCTCTTTCCCTCTCTACCCTCTCTACATCTACGCATTTAGTCCCTACAACTCTCTACGCAGTATATACGCTCCCCGAGTTCTCAGAAGGAATATATTAAAGAATTTGTTTTGGTAAAGTGGTCCCGTCGCCATGGAAACAATGACGTCATCGAGGGACGCTCCTTTGCGCGCTAGATTTATGGGCGATTTTTTTTTTTTTACGTGACAATAAATTTACACTAAACTGAGGTAATCGTAAGAATATAGTGAAATAAATTAGTTATATCAGAGTTATAGGTACAGCATTAGTAGCCTCGTGTTTCTAGAATTGGTAGTTTTAAAGAGTTATTGGCATTTATACCTGATAGATAACCACACACACACAGGCAGAGAGATAGAGAAAAAAAGAGAGAGAGAGAGAGAGAGAGAGAGAG